TAGTCTTGGTGCTAGTGGTGTTGGTGACCAACCTGATCGGCAAGAGCCTCTCCCAGAACAGCGGTCCGCGACGTTAAGTCGTCAAATTAGGATTCGAAACAACGAATGATCGCAGATCAAGCCAACGAAACCGTCATCGATTGCGACGTCAAAGAGCTTTACTACGGCAATTTCAAAGCCGTACGTGATACTCGTATCCCCATCAAACATGGTCAGATTACTGCGTTCATTGGCCCATCCGGGTGCGGCAAAAGCACCGTGCTGCGATGCCTGAACCGCATGAACGACCTGATCCGTGGCTTCCGCTTCGAGGGTCACGTTCACTTTCGCGGCCAAGACATTTACAGCCCGACGATCGATCCTGTCGCCGTTCGCCGCCACATCGGAATGGTTTTCCAGCAGCCGAACCCGTTCGCGATGAGCATCTATAAGAACATTACCTACGGGCTGCGAATCAATGGCTATCGCGGCAATTACGACGAAGTGGTCGAACGGGCCCTTCGTGGTGCGGCGTTGTGGGACGAAGTGAAGGACAAGCTCAAGCAAAGCGGTCTTTCGCTTTCCGGCGGCCAGCAGCAGCGGCTTTGTATCGCTCGTGCGATCGCCGTCGAGCCTGAAGTGCTGTTGATGGACGAGCCATGCTCGGCCCTTGATCCGATCGCAACGCGTAAGATCGAAGAGCTGATGAAAGAGCTCAAGAAGAAGTACACGATCGCCATCGTTACGCACAATATGCAGCAAGCCCAACGCGTGGCGGATCAAACGGCATTTCTGTACGTCGACACCACCCAAGGCGGCCGCACCGGCTATCTTGTCGAGCACGAAGAAACGAAGCGTCTCTTTGAAGACCCTCAGCAGGAATACACGCGGCAGTACATCCGCGGTGAATTCAGCTAACGAATCGTTTCGATCACAAACGCGTTCGCATTGTCGGTCGAATGGAGCGGCAATTCGGATACCACGATCATTCGATCGCCTGGGGCGACGAGATCAAGCTGTTTCGCAATCGACGTTGCCGTGGTAAGCATCTCGGCCGTACTTCCAGGGGCACGCATCTGGCGCGAAACGACCCCATGGTAGATCCCCATTTGCCGTACGGTAGACGGGATATCGGAAAGCCCCAGCACCGGACAGTCGATCCAGTTCTTCGCAATCAGTCTGGCCGTCATTGCCGAATGGGAATAAACGGCAACCGCGGCAATCTCTTGCATCTTTAAAATGTGCCGGATTGAATAAGCGAGTGCCGCCGTATTCGGGGGCTGGCCGAAGCCGACTTTGATTGGGCGATCGGTGATCTCCATCAAGCTTTCGGTCGCAATAACCGTTTTGGAAACGACCTCGACCGCTTGCGTCGGAAACTCGCCAACCGAGGTTTCCTCGCCCAGCAAAATGGCATCGGCATGATCGAACACGATGTTCGCGATGTCGAACACTTCGCTGTCGGTTGGATCTTTCTCGTGCAGCATCGTATGGAGAATATCGCGATCCACCAGGCAAGGCTTTGCGCCAATCTGACATTGCCGAGCGACCATCTTCTGCATGACCGGAATCGACCAGGTCTCGAGCTTCGAGAATCCTTGGGTGGTCACGACAACGCCGTCGGCGGCTTGAATTATGCTGTCGATATCCCGGTAGTTCGCTTCGTCGTCAAGCCGAGCTAAGATCGTGGCTTGACTGTTCCCTTTCTCAAGGGCTTCGCGGACCAGCGAAATGCTGCGCGAA